ATATTGATAATAAAAGGCAATAATAATGAAAACCAAAAAAAAAAAAAAAAGGTATTCAACTTATGTCAAAACTGACTTATGACAGAGTTATTGGAATGGAGCCCCGCTGTAATTCAGACACTACCTGTAGTTCTAAGAAGTAAATCTATCATTATAGATTTCGCTTTTCAGAGGCTATGGTAATAAGAGATGCTACCAATCAACACATTAGAATATTCTGAGAACCAAGTATCCTGAGTTGTTAACAAAACTCCTCTGGTTTGAAGATTCCTAGGGCTGATGTAGACTACCTCCTTGTTCTTGGCAAGATGCCAGCATGTACACAATTCTGGAAGGGTGATTGTCTACTCTTTCTCTTCAAATTCTTCTGTGACCTTTCTTGAAGCTCTTATCTATTCCACAAAGGGTTGTAGACCCTCTCCTTTGCTGTGTCTCTAAGATGTATATGTGTGACTTTGGAGGGATGAACCACTTTGGTTCCTTCCCCAACCTGGCTCCTTAAACATGGATATGGCTTGGGGCCTGAGCTGGGCACTGCAAGAGTCTATTTGTCTATCCGAAACTCATTTCACAGTCAGTGAGCAGAGCAGAGTAGTGGAAAAACCTCCTCTGGCTTTGCCATCCAGGAGTTTCCCTTTCTCTCCAAGGTTGCTGCATATAGAGCTCCACTTGGCAAGCACAGCAAAGAAGACAAGGAGCTCTGGGCTGATTAGGTCTTTGGGGCTTGATTTTCCTCCCCTTTGAGGGAAGTCTAAAAAAAAAACCAAACCAAACCCGTTGCCATTGAGTTGATTCTAACTCATAGTGACCCTATAGGACAAAGTAGAACTGCCCTATAGGGTTTCCAAGGAATGGCTGATGGATTTAAACTCCTGGCCATTTGGTAAGCAGCCAAGCTCTTAACCACTGTGCCACAAGGTCTAGTGCCTGCCAAATAGCCAGGAAGTATAGACGGGCAGTTCTGGCCAAGCCACTTGGACAGAGGTATCCAGGGTTAATATAGTCAGAGCTAAGGGTGGATAGAGGCAAAGGAAAGAAGGCATGGAGGCATGGGGTAAGTTAAAAAAAACCATAAACTGTGATGGTTTACACAACTATTACTAATATTTCCATGGTAACCCTCCCTTGGATCAACTTTACCTGCTGAGTCAGATCCAAAGCTTCTCCACAATATGATTTCAACACACCTTTCAAATAACTCCCTTTATCCTTTGGACAGGAGCCCTGGTGGCACAGTGGTTAAGCGCTTGGCTGCAAACCGAAAGGTTGGCAGTTCAAGCCCACCAGCCGCTCCATGGGAAAAATGTGACAGTCTGCTTCCATAAAGATTTACAGCCTTGGAAACCCTATGGGGCAGTTATACTCCATCCTATAGGGCTGCTATGAGTCGGACTAAATTATGTTTTTAGTTGTCTGAACACATCCTATGTTTTCCTTAGATTGCCTTTGTTCCTTCTCTCATATCTCTATCTCTGTTCCAATTCTATGCTTTATCCAAAGCTCATCTCAAATACTACCATCTTTAATGAGGTCATTGCTGATCTCCCTACTCAGAAATGTTAACTTGATTCTCTAAATATCTCTTATGGCTTTTTATACATTTAAACTTATAGTTACTTATTCACATTTCTCCTGAATTTGATTGTAACCTCTTTAAAAGCAGAGGCTATGTCTTTTTCATTCTTGTATCCTTTATGGAACTCAGTAGGTGCTCAGTAAAATGCCTATCAAATAACTGAGTCAATGAACACCTTGCACTAGTTTGTTTTGGATTTAGTCATTTTTCCTCAGGAAGGGAAGGGAAAACGGAAAGAGAAGATAAAATTTGCATGGCAGAGGTGTGGTAATCAGTTGCCATTAAGCAGACTCCAAGTCAAGGCGACGACATGTGTGTCAGAGTAGAAATGTGCTTCATAGGGTTTTCAATGGCGGATTTTTTTGGAAGTAGATTGCCAGGACTTTCTTCTCAGGTGCCTCTGAGTGGACTTGAACCTCCAATCTTTTGGTTAGCAGTTAAGCATGTTAACTATGTGTACTACTGAAGAACTCAGGAGAGGTGTTAGTCAGGACTAAAACTGATTTTGTCTAGGCCAAAAATCTACCCAGAATACCCAGTCAATAATAAAAAGAAAGACAACTCAATAAAAAAAATGGGCAAAGATTTGAACAGACACGTCACAAAAAGTATACAAGTAGCCAGTAGACATAAGAAAAAATGTTCAATGTCATTAATCGTCAGAGGAATACAAATTAAAGCCACTAAGAGATACCACTTTACACCCACTACAATAAGTAAAATCCAAAAGATTGGCAATACAAAAAGTTGCCCAGTATGAATCTCTCCTATCTTGCTGGTGGGAACAGAAAATGGAACAACCATTTTGGAGAACACTTTGGCAGTTATAAACTTAAACACACGCCTACCCTAGGACCTAGGCTTCTATATTTTTACCCAAGAAAAATTAAAAGTATGTGGTTGCCTATGGAAGGGTGGGGCATGAGGGAACTTTCTGGGATGATGGAAATGTTCTAAGTTTTGACTGGGGTGGTGTAACATAGTTTTGTCAAACCTCATCAAACTGTACACTTAAAATCTGTGTATGTTACCGTTTCTAAATTAAACTTCAATAAAAAATAATTTTGCCCAGGAGCAACCTAAAAAATCATGTATTCAACACATTTGTGGACTCCAGGCATGCTAAAAAGAATCCTACCATAATTTTTCAGCCATCTAAAACTATGGTCTTGTGAGAATCATTAAGAGTCAAAAAGAAAAACGTAAAAGGCTTACTTTCTCTAAGCTGAAATGGTAGCGCCATGACCCTTGGGTTTTCAAATGATTAATTTAATTAGCTAATAGCAACAAAAGTTTATTTTTGAACTTTATTTTTGTTGATACATGTAAGGAAAACTCAAGGATATTATCACAGGGATTTCTTCAGAGATACTTATAATAGTAAGTAAGACTATTATAGTAATTTTCAATGGTACGCTAAATACTTATGAAAGTGGGTTATGTAATTTAGACATTAGAGAACTCCTGTTGTTATGAAAGGAATTGTATTTCAGTGTGTTCTTTCCTTTGGGATTATAAACACCAAGAGCTTCTCTTTCAAAATATGATTAAAAGAAAACAAGGTAATCAAAAATGGAAAGTATAAAAATAGAAAATGAGATTGCATACCTTGATTAAAAAAATCACTAAGTAAGAAATGTTATTAAACTAAATTAAAAAGGCTTTTTTTTTTTTTTTTAATAGCGAAGATTGGAGAATCGATTTTCTCACTCTAGATGTTGCACTTGTTTTAAATTAGGTTCTGTTTTGAGAAATGACCTTGAAAAAGG